TAATAATAATAATATGAAGAATAATAATAAAAAATCGAAAATTATTTATTATTAATATGGTACTGTAATAATAATAATATCTGCTAAGTCGTCTTCTGGTAAGACTATGGAGAAACTGGAAATGTCATCGTCAGTGTCACCGCAAATTTCTTCTGCACCACTCATTCTTTTAATCGCACGAGAAGCTCTCATCCATATCCTGTTGTAACTTTTTTGACCTGATTGTGGTTCCATCCTATAGAGTAAACAATAATTTTAACATGAAAATTAAATATTTACGTAAAATTAAATTCTGAATAACTTGCGGTAAACTATTTTCAATGACAGATTTTCTTCCAATGGGAAATAACTAAAATGTATTTGCTTGGTGAGTGACCTGCATATGGATAAAATAATAATAATCTCTAAAAATAATAGTTTGTAACACACATTTCTATTATACCTATATAATTAACATACAGTTACTAGATTTCAAATTGATTTCAAATAAGCGTTTGGCCTACATTTATATAAAATTCTAGTTGCTTTTTTTTTTTCAAAATTTATACATTTTAGGTCTTTTCGCAATGTTAAACTAGGCCTACATGAAACAAATCAAGGAACATGCGAACTATTTTAATTACCTTTTTTACATATACTACTTGATTATTACTTTTTCTAGATATGTAGCAAGCTCTGTATGATATGACAGAAAATATGTGTAACTTAATTTAAGATAATAGAATGAATAACAAAAAATACCTCTGCACTTTACACAATCAAACATATTTTTAAAATAAACACCATTATACGTGAAAAAATACCCCTTTTTTCCAATTATTAAGCCAAGAAGTCTTTATTTAAATATATAAAACAAAAACAAAAATATAAAACAGCAGCATAAACGTTTAATCCTAATTGAAAACACTATAGCTTGGTATTGCAATATATACTGACATTTGGGGCTTTATGCAAATATTTATGATCAGGCAGTGATGATTAATAAAAAAAAATATACATCTCTACAAGGGTGCTGCACTCTCAACATTGTTTCAATGGCATAGGTTTTGAGGATCACAGACAATTTTGCAGCTCAATTGTACCTTCCTTTATAAAGGTAGATATAGGCCTAGTGCAAGTGTGTCTTTAAATTGTATAATAATTCAAATAGGTCGAAAGTTTCCATTCGTAGAATAATATGTACAGGTATCAAAATGTGTACACAGTAGGCCTTGTATTGATTTGTAATAAATTGTGGACACAAAGCATCAACAGTAAAGTTTGCTAAAAGGACACACTTTCTTCATCAAAAGGCTTACGAATTCAATGACCTCCTAGACCAAACCTAGTACTGTATAGGGAGTTTAAACTTAGGCCTATAAAGAGTTGTAACTGTAGAGAATTAAAGGTAGGTGATACAAATTTTAAAAGTGGGGGTATTGTTAAACCCTGAAAACCCTTCAAAGCTCCGAAAACACACCACAAACCCAATCAAAACCTCTTGATTATGATTTTATCACGTAAGTTAAATAACGCCTGTATTCTTAACTTCAACTTCTATTTGTTTTCACAAACTACATAGTCGAAGTTCTAACTACGACTAAATCAAGTCCTAGTTTTAGTCCAGCTGAAGACGACTGGCACGCAACAACTATCAAACTAACCAATGAAAAGAGCTCATTTTAATAGCAGATGAAATTTGAGAGATCCAGTAACGCGGATGAATATTAAGCTGCTGTCTGACATTCAAAAACCTATTTCATCATAATTCATAAAAGATAATCATTTGGTTAATTAATTTTCTATAATAATAACTATGTTAATCGTTAACAACGATAGAGAAATAGTCACTGAACAATTTACTGTCTTTGGAGAACTATTATAATTGAGCTGGAGTGAGGGCGGCGTTATCTTTGTTGTTACGGTGAAGCTACGTGACCGCAAAGCAAAGAGATTTTGAGCAAATCAAGGAACTATCGCATGTGCCTAGCAAAACAGTTAATTTCACGTTTTAAAAGCTAAACTTAATGTCTTTTTTCTTCAATACAGTACATCGAAGATACATCAAACCTATTTATACAATCTTTTTTTTTTCTTTTCAGTCTATCATGAGTTACAAAAATCATGTTTTAGTGGGGTAAATATTTCAAGTCGGCGATTTAGCCTGACCCTAGGCTGACTAAAAAAAGTCGGCCTGTGGAGTTATCATTTTAGTCGAGGTTCGCGTCATTTAGTTGCAGTGCTAGTCGAAGTTCGTTTTAAGAATATGAAATGACGTAATTTTTAAGTTTTAGCTCGAACTACGACTGAAGTTTGTTTTAAGAATACGGGGGGGGGGTAAGACTTGGTATCTCAATGAAAAAAAATGATAATTTTATTTTCATAACCTATTTTTAGGGTAAAAAGTTAATTTTTAACATTTATGTCTTAATTTGTTTTCTTAGATTTCAAATTTGTTTTATTTATTAAATTTTATGTTTGTATTATTTGATTTAATACAAATAATATTTATGAAAAAGTATTATATTATACAAAATATTGGATTAGGACTTGTCACGCTACAAAACAACACGTGTTAGAATTCATAATTCAAATTTTGTTAGTACAGTATAGTGAAAGGAGCAGAGTAATATTCAGTATTTGGGTAAGTAGAACATACCATTTCAGTGAGTACGGCTGATACCAGTGGCATCGAGAGGGGGGTCACTGCCCCGGGGCCCGGGTCTACTGGGGGGCCCGGACCAAGATGACAAATGTTCGGGGTAAGAACAAAATCCCCATAGGGCCCGAGACCAAGCCAGGATGAAAACTTTTGTTGTCAGAACAAACTCTTAGGAGGAGACCTAATTTGGGGAGCGGCCGAGTGGGGATCCCAAGTGAAAGGGGGGGGGGCATGTGAGGTGTTTACCCTGGGCCCTTACTTAATTTTAGTGATATTTAGATCAGTGTGATTCTGTCTTGTTTGTGAGATTTTTAGTGCAGCTATGGTTGTGCTTTTTTTTTTATAATTTAATTAGGCCTAGGCCGAACATCATATTTAAAGGTAGGTGTATATAATTGATCTCCATATATTTTACTTAATAAATCAACATCTAATAAAATATCCCATAAAATAATAGTAATCGATAATTATATTGAATAGGTCTATATGTTAGTAAAACAGCTTTTATGTGGAAATTTGGTAACAAATATTGTGCTTCAATCTTATGTTGACTTACACATGCACTTTTGTTTGCTTTATGTTTGGCTAGTCTAGTTTCTCCCACACATACGGCATCGCAATGAAAGTAACAACATGAATGGAGATAAGGAGCATATTTACGATGACCTTCTGCACCAACCAGGGAACAGCGGACCCTTCGAAAAAGACCTCAAATACCAACAGAGTGTGCACGTCATCAGATAACATCGGCCGATGACAAAATGATCTGAGATTAGGTCATTTACTATTTCGAAACCGGTTTAAATACTATAGTATTTCAACATGTTTATATATTAAAAAGCATATTGTTGATAACGATTTTTTTTAAAATACTGAATAGCATATTGTGGATAAAGCATTTATTTGAAAATGAAAAGCATATTGTAGATAAAGCGTTATTTTATTTAAAAATTTTAATACTTAAAATCACGATATAGATAAACCATGTCTTTTTTAACAGATTTAAATTCTGTGAGGCATGTTCTTCATTTAGGCATTTTTTTTAAACAGTTTTAAATATTGAGAAAATATTAAAGTTTTAAGTACTTTTTGTTAAAACAGATTTTAAATACTGTGAAGGCTATAGTCAAAAAAACAATCGGGCCTAGATTGCAATGTTCAATCAAACCCGGTGTTGTCAACTATTGTTTATTCCATATAATGGGTAGTCATATCAGTATGAAATTGGCATTATTTAATGAACTACAGTACTAACAATATATTAATCTAAAATAACATTCAAGAAAAATTATAATAATATAAGCACCCAACTTACAACCTACAACTTTTTAAAGAATATTTTGAAAATATTTGTTGATTTAACATAATAAAAAACAATTTGACCTAGAAATTTTATAAAATAAATTTTACAACAATATAGAAGCCTTTATTTTATACACCAATTTGTTAATTTCACGAAAATAGTAATTTTTAGCCGGTTTCCCTATGTATGGTTAATTTTTTATTTGTGTATATGTTGCGTTTTGATTCAGTGGATTTGCTCCTAATTTACTGTTTGTGGCTAAGCAAAATTGTTGTTTGTCTATCATATTTAGATTAATCATACATCCTTTTGAAATGTTCATTAACGTTTAGCCAAGTATTTATGTTAAACACATTAAAATATGCATCATTATATAGGGCCACCGGAAAACTGTAGCCTTATATCAAATTCCAACGGAACAGTAGAGCAAATCCAATTAGAATAATATATAAATTTATAAAGGCAAATTGGAAAAACCCATAAAAAAAATCCGAAAATCCGATGAGAATGACAAAATAAACTTAGCATCAACTGAAAAGAATCCCAATATCTGCGGACGAATCTGTTTCGGCCATCCAGTCAGCTAGGGTACAGACCCAAACGAAACGTTTGACCAGCTTAGTTAGGGCCCAAACTAGTCCCACGACCACTACAGATTACAGAGCCAAACCAATTCAATATATATACGCAACCCAGGTGTGAATGCAAATAGTGGAATACAAGCTAATGCTACTTGGTTTCAGTAGATACGGTACAGAGAATATTTTGTCATTCTTAACGCGTCCTACAAATTTCTTACGAGACAGCACTAGTGCGTGAATTTATGAAAAAGATCGGAGATCTAAAGATGCCATCTCTACCGTGCATCAATGGCGGTCCGCTGGATCTCAATGTTAAAGAATCTCTCCGAAGTTAGCCGTTAACACTGTTGAATGAATATAATATAAATCATCAAAGGTACATATACAGTGTTTAATAAGGTCATGATCGAACATCGTAGGCTACCCTGTAGCTTTTCAACGAATAAAGTCCTATAAAAGTCATTGTGTAATAAAATGTCTCCAACTGGATTTGAACCTGCGACCTCTCGCTGATAAGGCGAGCGTCATAACCACTAAACCATGAAGGCTTCATGGTTGAACAGGTCCAAATAACCGTCGGGAACATTGTATTACACAATGCTACGCCCGAACATTGTATTACACAATGCTACGCCTCAAGAGGGCGTTCGGCCAGATAAATCTTGGCAATACGGCTAGGAATACTGTACAGAATATACATGGACTACCGAGAGTTGTCCATGCGGATAGAGGAACGGAGAACTCCTTGGTTAGAATCATTCAAGTAGCGTTAAGATCCAATGATCACGATTCAATGAGTGGCCTCAGAAGTTTTTTGTATGGCAGATCCGTTGCAAATCAACGTATCGAAGCCTTTTAGTCATACATACAACGACTTTGTTCTCGATGTTGGATTAATCACCTAAAAGACCTTCAGGACAGAGGACTAGTAGACACATGTAATGATGTTCATATTGAATGTACAGTATTAGATTCTGTTTAACCGACATAATTCAAAGAAATTTCTCGCGTATGACCAGAATGTGGAATCAACATCTAATTCGCAGTCAAACAAATTTGGATATCTCATGTGGAAAACCCGATATGCTATATTTCTTACCAGAAATATACGGATCAAGAAATTATAAATTTCCATTGCAATTTTCTTATGATGATATTGAGGAGGTAAAACGTGACTACTTTGAAGTACTTCCAGAGTACGGATGCTCTCCAGTCTTTGCTGGTGGAATTTCTGAAACTATTGGAAACAATGTAGATAATTATACGATGCTAAATACTTTTGAGGAAAGTACACAACTGTTACTTTATCTTATTGACAGTTTTGATGAAAATTGTGTTTCTTCATAATAATGCGAATTGTTCCCAAACTTATACATTTGCCGGAGTGGATGTAAACTGAATCCGGATTATGAGAACGTTTTATTTTTTTTAACGATTTTACATGTTTTACATGTAGGCCTACTGACTTTCCTCCTTATAGAAATGATCAAAAATGCAACACTATACTGACTAATAGATATACTTTAATACAATAATAACATAACAAACAATAACAGTAATACTATGTTGAAATACAAATAATAATATATAAAGGTTGGTCGAAATTCTAACATATAGTTCAACAGTGTACATACAATGCTTCAAATATTTATTTCAATGTTAAATTTCTTTTTCTGACTTTTAATAATTCATGTAAACCTGCCTGAAGAAGAAACATCAGCAGTTAATCCTTGATAACTGTTTTAATGAAACAGATCTATATGCTTTTTGAACTCCATTAAACGGACACGGATGAACGATGTATCATTGACCTGTATAAACTATTCTTATATCTAATGTCTATTCTTAAGTTTAAATAAAGTAAAAGGATGTAGTCATAGGTTGTTTTACAGAAAGAATTAAGCCATCGTTATTCCGAGTAGTGTGATTATGACATTCTTAGGTAATGTGTATATTTTAGATTTGACAACATTTTAACTTATATTGTAATTATAATTATTTCTAACTTAATTAGTTAACCAATATTTACTTTTTCAGATACAAATAAACATTGTTATTGTTAAACATATTTTTATAACAATTATTTTACTATAGATTCAGCTTTGCTTAACTGAACAGGCCTACACTATTGTTCATCAACTTAATTGTACATAGAATAGTATAGCGATATATAATGACAAGTTTTGTTCTTGGAAGTTTTGTTTCTGTTTTAGTTACAAAACAAAAAGGTTTAATGCACTTACGTTACTAATTAAATAACTTACATTTAGTAATTTCAAGCACGTATATTGATTTTATGAGAAAGTATTAGTTTGTCTTGTGTGGATGCAGCTCACCTTCATTTCATTTAGTCAAACACACATCAGTTGAGTTTTATCCAGTAATATAGGCCTGGCGCACGCGTTTCTCAGTATGGGCATCAGAAGTTCAAGGTAGGGGTTGTCTGAACCGTAACGCCTTCCGTCGAAATGCCACTGGAAGGTGAGAGGGGAATCGTTCGAATTTGCTCGACCGAAGAATATGCGCCAGTCGTGCATGGGATCGAGGGTCAGAAACAGCGGCATGAATTCTGTAAAATCCTCGATTCTCGCAATCCACAATCGACCGTTGCGAGTTCTTCGTCCGGGACCGCGACCGTCGTCGTTGTTGTCTTCGTCGTCTGCATAGCTCCTCGAGTCCATGACGAGCAATCCGGACCACCTGACTTCCGCGGCAGGTTGTGGAAGACCCAATTTCAGAACGGGCGGCTTCTTGAACATTTCCATCGTCGTGCTCACTTTCAGTCGTTCACACTTTACTCACTCGTGCAAAACTTAAAATAAAGTCTATTACGATAAAGGAAGTAACGTAAACAAGTGTTTTCTTTTTTTTCTTATTTTACAAACATTTATTTCGATTTTTTTTTTTTCAAAAAATTATTGAAATTTAAGAAAAACAAAATTATTTATTCTTTGTGGTCGTCCTCGATCCCGTCTTACGCGACAGCAACGTTTCCAGTTGGTTCGCCACTTTGGAGATTCCGTCGACGTCCTTCTTCCTGTCCAGTATTTTCAGTGTTTCGCCGGCATCCTCACAGTTTTTCGGTCGTCTTTTTTCTCGACAGATCTCAGCATCTCCGATGACTTTCTTCGAGAAAAAAAAACGTTGAATCTTATTGCTAGACGAAATCTGCGGCTTTGTCTACTGGCGTTTCTGCCATTCCTTGTTAATGAACGTTTGTTACTTGGTAATGTAACGCTTCTGTTTGCAACCCGATCTGTTGCAGCGCGTCGAACAGTTCACCGGGTCGATCTCCTTCAGTCGGGAATCGTTCAGCGGTCTTCCAAAGAGCTTGCACATTTCTGAATCGAAGTCCTCCACGTGTCTGAGAACGGTGTCCAGAAACGTTCGTCTGGTACGCCTGAGGGATTCCAACATTTGGAACTGAGTGTTGCAGCAGAACGATGGAGAGAATAGCTGGAATTTGCGGGGATGATCGTCTCCGCCCGCTTTCACGTCGTTCGGAACTGTGAACTTGACCGAAGAAAATCGATCGTTGCTGTCCACGATGCAAGATTCCTTCAAATTCTATCATGTCGTCCTGCAGCTTCATTCCCCTCAGGTGGATGGAGTCCACGCGTTTTCGACGATCGTATGGATCCTTGACTAGGAAGAAGTTGACGGCTGCTCTGCCGCACATGGACTCAACTCGGACGTGCATCGTCTCGATCTTAATTGATTATGGGTGAGAGTAAGGTCGATCTCCGGACGCTGTTTACTAATATCTCATTAAAAATTCTGTTGACTTCGCCGGAGTACCATGAACATTGCTGCGTCGGTCGGTCTTCGTTCGACGATCACATTAGATGATTCACGAGAATCTAAGTAACTCCCGAGCGCTTCTTTGCCGCGGCGTCCTCGCCTCTCGGGATGATGAGGGGAACGCGCTCCTCAACGTCCATTGTCAATGGCTTCCCGTCGTCGGATGCCACAGCTCTGCCCCCGAACGCCGTGACCAGTCGTTGCCGCTCGTCTTTGTTAAACACCGGAAATTCGATTTTGTTTGACTTTTACTTGCAAAAACTAAGCGCGGACGAGACGAAGGGCGACGTCGTCGGATCGTCCACCATTGAGTGGACGTGTTAGACAACGATCACGTTCTTGTGTTCGCTCTCGTTTCTGAACTTGACGTCTCCAATAACCAGGTCGTCCCGGTAGAGCAGGTACACCGACTTTTTGCCGGCCCTTTTGAAAGAAAGGTGCTTTGCGCCAACGTCGGATACTCTGCTGCAGACGACGACGGCGGCTGCGGCGTGCAGCTCGGACAGTCGACGGTATCTTGGAACCAGACTTAGGCATCTTTTCAGAGTTTTGACGAACTTGTTCCTGAAATGATCAAGCGCGGACGTTACTGAGTCCCGACTTCTCATCACGTCGATGAACTTGTCGTCCGAGTTGATGTACACGTTCCAGAACGCCAGCCCGTCGGTCATCGGACCGTGAACATGGACAAGGTGCTTGCTCCATACACTCGCCGTGGGCGAGATCCTGGTAGTCTTGTTGAGTATACGGATTCCCAGCTCCTTGGCACCTCTGTCGCAGAACTCAGCAGAACTGAAGTCCACGAGTCTGAAGTGGTTATCGACCCTGCTGTACGTCACGTTCTTCAGAGTGATGTCGTGCTCGAGGTCCGATTTGGCGAAGAAAGTCAGAGCCTCGCACAGGTGCAGCGCCAGCATCCTGACGCACAGAACTATGAGGAGATGCCATCTTCGTTGAAAGTCTATCGCTGGCAGCGAGGAAAGGAGGAGTCTAAGAAAGCAAAGAGAACAGATGCGCGATACAAAGCACTTGTATCAGAATGCAAATGGGTGATACTGGATCGGTTTTCTCCAGGAGACGATTGTAGCACTCCGCTACCTACTTTGCACGTTCCTCCGGAGACGATGTCCTACGAAATGACGAGCAAACCTTGCTGGAAGGTGGTATCGGGAGTCGCAACGACAACTCAAACCTTGCTTTCGGCGAAGTGTTCAACTGGCCGGAGGGCGTCGGGCGTTTCTTGGACGCCGGTATGTTATACGACGAAACGAGACTCCGTGATCATCAAAGGGAAACCCATCAGCAGGGCGGATTCTTCTATATCGAGCATGATCGACGCCAGACTCAAGATCGTCGAACGTGGCAATGCCGGCGACGACGTGGATGATGCCGTACGGACGTGCTCCGAACGACCGAGGCGCCAACCTACGACGTACGCGCGCAGGGAGAGCAAGAAAGCTGTGGATCGTCCAATATCGAATCCTCCAGAAGTCCCGTCGTCGAGTTCGACTGACTTTTGTAGGTTGTGCCACCTGTCGAGTTTTCGCACACTTCTCGAATGTTGCGCCTGTTCGTATCTATGAGCACAGATCTGGACGTCGCTCTCATCGCCCTGTCCATCGAACTGCTGGTTGCTGCGAAGGTGAAGAGCGCAAAATTCTTTGTCTGCTCTCCTTCCTGTGCGACGCCAGATCGAACGTTGATTCGGTTCCCGAGTTGGTGTTGCGATCGTGAAACTTCTGGTTTC